TCGGGAGGCATCGCCGCCCACACCACGGACTCGCGCGAGCTATCTCTGGCGTGGGTCCGTGGTGCGGCCGGCAGGGCAATGGCGGCCATGCCATCTTCGCGAGGCGCCGCTCAACGGCGCACCCCTTCACCTTGCGCCCGGGCATACAAGGGGAGGGGGAAGCCAGGCGGAGGCCTCGATTGCCAAGGCCTGGCCACCTCTCGTCTCGCGCCAGCATCGCCGTGGAGGTGGAGTCGCTTCTTCGGTGGGAGAGGGTCCGGCACCTCCTTAGGAGCCTTCCCTTTCTCTACCGCAGAGAACCTCCTGATCGGCGTCATGAGAGCAAGACGAAGAAGAGGAGAAGCAAGCGGGAGCAAGGCTAAAGAGAAATGGGCAGGGGCTCCACCCGCTCGCACGTTTATAGCCAGGAGAAGGTAAATCGTCGGCCTCCCACGATTTCTAGTAATGATGATCCTTTCTGCATGCAGGATGCAGTTGTCAAGTCGAGTAGTTGCCGAGGCAGCGTGGGGAACTGGAGTCGCCCATGTCCAATCAGTCGCCACGCGTCATCAAGGCCGCAGGCGGTTAGGGCCCGCGGCACTCCGCACTTGCCCCTTGGCTTTGCCTGGAAGCCAAGTCCGAGCGCGCCTTCGGCCCGGGGGCTACTATCGGCATCCTGGACTTGGGGGTATTCAGTCCTGCCTGCCTGCGGCCCACCACGCGGCTCTGTCGACGACCTGGTATGGCCCAGCTTCAACAACAGCGCAGCAAGACCCTCGTGAGGGGCCAAACCTCGCAAGGCGGACGACGCCAAGACCCCTGAAGGAGTTGGCCTCCTCAGGAGGGCTCCTGAGGGGCGGAGAGATCTATGTAGCTACCTCATGAGGCTCAGCTGACGTGAGCCATGACGACCAAGGCCAGGCGGGCGCCAGACGGGCACAGAGCGCAGGTTTCCTCTTCGGTGCAAGCGAGGCAAGCCGCAGGCGCGGAGTCCCGAGGAATCAGCCAAAGTTTTCCATTCTGGTGCAACAAGACCAAGACCGCCAGGACGACAAGACGGAGGTCATCACCGAGCCCACCGCAGCATCACGGCCAGAGGCTTTTCGCAGGCGAAGACTACTTTTGTCAGGATAGACTGTACTGCCTGTCCCTTTCAAATCCCGCCGTTGTGGAAACCCTTCCCGCTCATATTTGGGAGGAGGACCAAGGCACTATATATAGGACTTAGCCACCACCATAGAGGGGGACCGAAAACCAGAACAAGTAGATCACCACACTAGCTCAAGAACACCTCACCTCCTGAGGCTTGTTCATCCTTTGTACTAGTTCATCCATAGCCCCTCGAGGCAATCCACCACACCACACTGGAGTAAGGTATTACACCACAACCGGGGCCCGAACCAGTATAAATCTCTGTCTTTGTGTCTCTGTGGTCTCTTCGCGCTAGGCTAGGGAGGATCGCGAGTATGCAGGCTGGACAGGTTGAGATCTCCGCACGCACCCCAGTGTTCGAACCTCTCACGGTTGCCGGATCCCGAAATCCGACATCTGCAGCGTCATGCAGCAGAGCTTCACGGAGCTCAGGACGAGTGTCGAGGAGGTGCAACTATCCCTCAAGAGAGTGGATGGCGCAACAGTCCACACCAAGGTTCAGTCTTACGCCCGCTTGGCCAGAAAGGCTTAGAGGCTGTGCAAAAGCATCAGCAGACATGGAGGGATCCAGCGCCATCAAGATGACAGCTGAAGCAAGAGACATTGCTGTCGTGATGCTCGAGTCAATGTTACATCTCGTATTGAAGCAGATTACAGTACCAAAATTTTCTAGTAGGTGGTCTCTTGTCTCCAAGGCGTTCCAGAAAAAGAGATTTGTGTGCAACAAGGGGCAGTTGCAGGAGTTGCACATCATTGATCTTGAGAGTAGACTTCAGCTTCTCTTCAGGAGATTGATCCATAACAGGGTCTCTCTTCTGAACAATCTTAGCTTATAGATAGATTCATAGATCGACTTAGTGCAACAACTCTAACCCCCTCTAATTCGTGTCCACCTTTTGGAGGATCATGGAAAACAATTTTCTGATGTATTTAAGAGAAATAATGTACAGAAAATCACACAGCTCAAAAGCAAAAAATTTGTCCATTTCAACTTGTCAACCTGAGTATTTAATTTTACACATGCCCCATGGTGCCTTTTTTTCATGCTCTGTAGAACCCGCAACCAAAAATTGTAGCTATTTAATTACAGTTTTTCTATTGATAACAGGGTCACTTGACTCACTTCCCAGTCTCATTATATGAATGCCCGTGGGGACTTGAGTGGGTTTCACCCAAGTAAAACACAGAAAAGATCAACTAAATGTCCAACATATCACTACAGCAGTAGAATGCCACCTCAAACAAAAACAGGATGTCTAAACGTCTCAATCTGGAATTCAGTTTAAGTTCTTCCTTCAGGGAAAATCTAATTCACACAGACTAGTTTTCTTATTGAATGCTAAGACCTGCATTAGCATTCCCAATCAAAGAACTATTTGAGCACTACTTAAGAACTGATATTTGCTGATCAATCAGAATACAAATGGATGCAAAACTACTTGATTAGGATTACCAATTAAAAAACTATTTGAGCATGCACGAATGACGATAACAAGCAATAATTGAGTAAACTGCCGCGCCATTCATTGCTGTCAGTAGCTTAAGACACGAGAACGTGTTAGGCCTAGTTAGGAGCACCTAATGCACCCTTAGGTTGCAAAGGATCGCATGAGGTAGTTAATAGCCTAGTGGAAACATGCCAGCGATGCTCACCAGACAAACACATCGTGTTGCGTTGGAGGTCAAAGATGAAGTGAACTGTTCCTCCACCACCAATCAGAAACAGCTAGCTCTTTCTCTCCACTAGCTCACCAATCTCAAGATCTGAATCTGACATCAAACTGCACGCTCGTGCAGATGAGTTTGCTGCCAAGAGTGGAGACATGACAAGGTGCTCATAAGCTCAACCAGAGGCGAATAGTTGGAGATGCTACTTACACTGATCAGAGATACAAAAGAAAAATCAGCTTGTCGTGGAGATGGGTGGCAGCGGCACAGCACCCCATCAGCGACGAGATTTTGTTGTTTACAAGGTCAGCTAGTGCTTATATAGAGAGGCAAACAGCACCGGTTAAGCACCATTTGCCATGGCTAGCCAGCAAAACTTCTTTTCTCTGAAGGCGAACATCTCTTCACCTTTGGCTACCATTGAAACAATGTTCGATGACTTTAGGAGGTGTGTACTTGTGTACAATAGCATCAAGGAGATCATATGCAGCCAAATTATCCTTTGCCAGAGCAACAAAGGTAAGCTGTGGAGCTCGAGCTCGAGCACTTTCTTGCATTGATCGACATCTGCAATGCCATCCTAGAGAGCTTTTCTAAGCTCAAGACAGGTACTCGGGAAATTACATTGGCTCTCAGGCCAAGATACAGTCCTTCATTCATCTGACCAAGATGGCGCAAAAACAGTGGAAGAAGATCAATGGAAATCTCCTTCAGCTGAGAAGGAGGGTGGCCAAACTGTTGGCCGGAGCAAGAGAGGTCGTTACTTCGATGCTTCAGTCATCCACGTGGCTCCTACTGAAGCAAATTGTGATGCCGAGTTATAACAAGTCGTATCTTGTCTCCAAGAAGTTCCACAAGAGAAGACTTCCATGCAACAAGGAGCAATTACTGAAACTGGAGTTTCGTTGTTCTCGAGGGCAGAGTTTCTTTTCTGAATGCTCTAAGCTTGTACATGGATGATAAACTGCCTACGGTTCACTGTGATAGGCACCCACCTTTTAGAGGATCAGTTTACTGTTTATGCTGCTGTGAAGATAGCTTGGACAATGTCTTCAAGAAAGAACAATGTTGGAGCATTTAACTCAGAGGGATCTTCAGAATATACAATTAGTATTACTCAGAAATGCTCATCGTTGCTGACCATCATACAAGCTAACAGTGTACTGTTTCAAATCAAAATTTGAAATGCGTCACTACAAGATGGCCATGTTATTCAGATGCTACTTGTTATCACAACAACAGCCAAAGGATCATTGTGCAGTGATTTTGCTATCCATGGCTAAAGCAAGCCAGCTCCAACACTCCAAGTTGGCCATGCAGGTAGCATGAGCTGTGCAGCATATAATACCTACATAATAAATTTAAAACAGCACAATACCTAGATAACACGTATGCAACTAAAATAAACATTTTTAGCACGCAATTATGTCAAGATCCACCAATAGAGCCAACCATCCGGTTGATTCTTGTCGCCAATTAAAGGAACATGACAATGTGATATCTCATTGGAAGAATAGCTACTGCACTAAAGAATTTGAACTACACATGGGCGAAGATTCCAAATGTTGCACCAGATCTCACAAACTTGATATACAAAACTGTGGAGATGAGTTGGCATGATTCGTTGTGTCTACCATTCAAATGGCGTTGTATCATACAGTTCCTCTGTATAAATAGGCCTCAGAAGAAGGCTAAACACATCAAACCGAAAGGCGCTCTCTCATTCTCATACCTTCAAACCTCAAGTACTCAACACAGAGGAAAGAGTCTTAGCAACAGATATGGCTTGCCATATTAGATCAGTTAGTTTGTCTTCTAGGCCTCACACCAAGGTCGAAGAGGAGCTGCACAGCCTAGAGGCAAGCATCTCTTCACCCTCCATGACCATCGAGACTATCTCTGATGGTTTGAGGAGACTTGGAGACATCTACAGCGCCATTGAAGAGATCCTGTGCCTTCCTAGCAACCAAATTTGCTCTTCCCAGCAAAGGAAGATGTTGGAAGGTGAAACCGAGTGCTCCCTTGAGCTACTAGATCTCTGCAATGCCATGCATGAGGACTTCACCGAGTTGAAGGCCATTATCCAAGATCTGCAAGTGGCGAGCAGAAAAGGAGATGACACCGCTGTTCAAGTCAAGACCCAGTCTTACACCCGCCTAGTGAAGAAGGCGAAGAAACATTTCAAGAAGGCCGCGAAGAAGGTTACATCTGACAAGGAGGACTGCAGGATGGTCAGGCTGTTGAGTGAGGCTAGGGAGATCACCACCTCTCTCCTCGAGTCAACAGTACACCTCTTGTCCAAGCAAATCGCAGTGCCAAAATGGTCTCTCGTCTCCAAGGCATTCCAGAAGAAGAACTCGGTTGTTTGCAAGGAGGAGCAGTTGCAGGTCCTAGAGTGCAGTGTCGGAGATCTTGAGGCTGGAGCAGGAATCCTGTTCCGGAGATTGCTCCAGAGCAGAGTTACTCTCCTAAACATTCTTAGCTCATAGATACTCTTCAACCTATGCTACTCTTGCACCGTGCGATTGGCTTCCACCTTTTAAAGGATTGCTGATCTTTCTCAGTGTGTGTATATATGTAGGAATGTACAGAATACTCCATACAGAAAGGAAACAAAAGTTTTGATCGAACTCATACTGTGAATTCAACCCTCGCATGCTTCTGAGATCCATGGTGATATTATGCAATGATGTTATTATTGCCTCTGTTTTGTATGATGCATACACGGTTCAAGATGTAGAATGTGTACATGAAATAAGTTACGCATGAGCCATGGTAGTTTCTCCCTTTTCTTAACTTTAAGCAGTCACATGGGAGTTTCTTCCTTCTCTTAATTCTATGCATGCTTTTTCTCTGGAAAGAAATAATTAGAGACTAGCAGCCAACTTTTAAGGGTCAGCCATGTAAATTTTGCACTGGCTAATAAATGCATTTACCTGTGTATTCAACATCAAACCTTCTTTAAGCTCAAAATTAGTATATGATCCTTATTTGGTGGAACTACTCTACATTAATAAATATGCTAGATCAAGCTGAACCCCACCATTAAACTAGTAATTTGCAGAGCATATTAGCTGGCTGAGTTGGCTAGCTGCATGGTTGCAGAGTCTGGACACATCCTTGCACTAAATCAACTCCATGCAGAGTCTGGACATATCCTTGCACTAAATCAACTTTTCCACTGAGACACTGTAGCTTTAAGACAACTTCAGAAGGAAAACTGTAATCTTGGTTACGCTGCATGCATCCTAGTAATGCAGAGGCCGGGTGTAAGCTCATCATGCTGTGTATCCTCTTGATGCTACATTTTGAGTTAATATAAAAGTGCCCTTTATCGGAAAAAAACTCAATGGCTAAAACAAAGGGTATAGAATCATAACTCCATGTCTCCTCAACAATTTAATACAATTTGCTGAAGCATCTTTAGTTGTGTAGAAAGCATGCTATGTGTCACAGAGATTCAAATCCAAGAAAGCTCGTGTATCTCAATAAAGTATAACTTTGATTCTGAACAGGATGGTAAAGTTCTCAAGAAGACAAAAACTACGAACTGATCCATTTCCTCGTGTACCAACAGTACAAGATGCTAAAAGGAAAGAAAAAAAGGAAAAGAGCTATGGTTGATTATACAGAGGCATACTCCACTTTGATAGGCCAAAAAACTATGGAGGTCTTGATCTTGTAGAAGCAGTGGTCTGCATCCGGGCTGAAGATAGGCATTGCGCCTGCATGGCTGCTCCTCTCTGCATTAATATGTTTTCCTTCTTGGGGGGTCAAGTGGTCATTGGGGACCCAGTTCTCAATGTTATCAGTGCGTATGCACAGCAAGTAGGCCACAGTGAGAGCACTGAGAGGGAACTCTCGGAAGTTTGGAGGACATGGTTAGGAGTGTACCTGTTGTTAAGGAGCTCTTCTTACGAGACCTCAATAGCAACGTGGGTACATCTAACACAAGCTTTGAAGGGGTGCTTGGGGGCTTTAGTTCTGGCAGCAAGAATCAAGAAGGAGAGGATGTCTTAAGCTTTGCTTTAGCCTACGACATGATCGTGGACGAACACCCTCTTTAGTAAGAGAGAATCCCGTTTGGTGATTTTTAGTAGCGGTCAACACTCTAGCTAGACTGATTCCGTCCTCTCAAGGAGAGAAGACAGGTGTGCCTGCCTAGATTGTAAGGTTATACCTGGAAAGAATGTTGTCCCTCAACATAAGCTTGTGGTGACTGACTTCCGCTTTCGGAGTCCAGCGGGATAAGCGCGCAAAAGTCGCTAGAACGAGGTGGTAGAAGCTCAAGGGAGAGGCAGCTCGGGCTTTCAAGGAGAGGATTGTTAAGAGGGGCTCTTGGGAGAAAGGAGGTGATGCAACAGTAAGTAGATGAAGATGGCGACTTGCGTTCGGAAGGTGGCTTCAAGGAGATTGGGGTGACTAGGGGAAGTAAAAGCAAAGCTAACCTGGTGGTCGAACGATGATGTCCAAAATGCTATTAAGGAGAAGAAACAATATTTCAGGCGCCTACGCCTTGATAGGAAGTGCAGACAACATAGAGAAGTACAAGATGGCAAAGACCGCAAAACGAGGTGTGAGTGAAGCAATGTGTCGGAGGACCTCAACCAACATTTAAACACGATGGAAGGCAAAGGGGATTACCTCATCATTAATCAACAAAACCCAATAGGGGGCCTAAATGCGCTTCGTCATTAATCAACAAAACCCAATAGGGGGCCGAAATGCACTTTCAAGTTGGCTTTAGGGTAGGGCCATTTCCGAGTCCTGGAGCTTCTCTCACTTGTCTCGGGGCGCATTCAGAAGTGTCGCACCATCAAGGAGGAGTTCATGGACAGACATTGGACAATAGATGTCAGGGAGGTTGTTAGCCCACTGGCAATGTGGTAATATATTCAAGTTTTGTCGGTGCTCCGCGAGGTGCGCTCCTGGCATCGCTAGATGTCTTGGTCAGGTGTTGGACGGCTAACAGCCAATGTACTTCTCAGACCTGCTAATAAACCGAGCAGTTCTCACCGGCGGCGTTCTTCTTCTTAATGGAATCTTAGCAGCTCTCCTGCTAACTTCCAAATAAACACCCTCTTTCAGGGAGCAAACTATTTGGCTTGCCTACCAAAACCGTTGTTGCACATCATAGAGGCCGTGTGGCTGGGGTTGCAGCATGCCCATAGGTGCTTACTTTCGGACCAACTGGAGGAGACAATGGACCCAACACCTAATCAATTGCTCCTTCTTGGGCACCTTGTGGATTCAATTGACCACCAAGCTGCCTGTTGTCGAAGAAAACTTTGTGGACTAGCCGCAGCAGGCCATCCAATATGCCCTGACCTCTACTTGAAAGGATGCCGCCGCTCCGATGATTGTGCCACTGTGTTGTGGTGAATGCAAGAGTTCAAAATTCATCATGCAAATATGAAAAAAGTTCCGCATTAGTCTCACAGCAATGTTTTCCTTTTCACATTGATTGATGCAGTAGACGTGATTCTCAATGTATGTTCTTCTCTGGACCCAAAAGGGTAGAGACTAGCACCAAACTTTACAGGCTTGGTCATGTAGATTTTCACTAATCAATAAATGCGTATTTTCTACAGCTTCATTAAGCTGACAATTAATGCATGGTCATTGTTTTGTTTTGTTTTTCGAAAAGGGGGATTACCCCCGATGATCATTGTTTGGTGGATCTTTCTACACTGAAATGAAGTATGCCAGATCAAGCTGCAAACGTCAAAACCTGTAATTAGTGGAATAAATTAGCTGGACAGGTTGGTTGGCTGCATTCAGTCTGGGTGTACTACTGCATTCTTTTGTTTATTAAGAAGATAGGAGGCGGTATTTGTCTAATAACGTAACTTTTCCACCAAATTCAAAAGGTTTAAAATATGGTACGGTTCAGAACTTTGTATCCTCCTCACTCTGATAAATGCGAAACGCATGCGAAATTCCGAATGTGGCACCGTAGAAATCGAAATTAATGAGTGCACTTGTCGATCCATAAACCCTAATTTCAGCTCCGCACAAGATGCAAAGCTTGCGAGTGCCCAAGAAACTACGCACTGATTTTGTATCAAACAGTACATTATGGCTCCATAAAGTTAGGGTTCAGAGGAATACCTCTCCCCAGGGGTAAAATTTCGGAGAACCAGAGATCCTCTGCCGCGGTCTGCGATCCCAGAGGGCGGCTCCCCGCCGTGTTTACTTGTCTTCGCCTGCCCTTGCCCTCTCGGCCTCCCCGGCGTTCGGGTGCTGGGGAAAACGAACCGGCCAACTGATTCATGGGCCTCCTGCTGGACTGCGTTCTCTCTGCCTCGTAAAGAAGATTTTCCCAAATGAGGCCTCCCGCTCTTTGAGGCCCATTTACTACATCTGATTTGGTTCCCCTTTTTTTAAGAATTTGATGCTTTTTCTTCAAAAAATCGCATTAATAAAAAATGTGTAGTAAAATAAATTCAAAATATTCTTTTTTGCAGGAAATTCAAAATATCCTATATAGAATAAAAGAATGCTAAATCAAAATTTTGAACTAAATACATTATAGAATTGTGTACAAATAGAAATTCATCATCATCATATATCTCTACTCCTAATATAGCAGTTGGTGAATAATCTTCCAGTTTTTTTTCGCTGGTTTTAGTTTTTTTTCGCTGGTTTTATTTCGTCCCACCACTTTCGCTGGTTTTTTTTCGTCTCTTCCCCCACTGCATCCCATCCCACGCAACCACAAAAAAACAAACGACCAGCAAAAAAAAAAACCATGGACCCCATCCTTCGTTGCCCCCTCCCATCGATCCCATCGACCCCCGCCGCCGCCGTCCGAGGGGGAGACGACGCCACCGCCGCCGTTCGAGGGGGAGACGCCGCCGCCGCCGCCTCTGCAAGGCAGGGCGGTTTGAATCCTGCCGCCGCCGAACTCCGGATCTCCTCGATCTCCTCGATCTCAAGCGCCGGCAGCATCACCTGGATCTCCTCGAGCCAGGGCCCTCCGCGCGCCAGCACCTTTCCCATCGCGCGCGATCTGTCCGCTCCGACACACGGTGAGCGCGCTACCCCCGCCTTGTCACCGACGTCCTGATCCATCAGCGGCAATGGCGGCTCCTTCTGGCGGATCAAGGCGCGGAGACCCGTGGGATCCCCTCCTTGGGCAGGACCTCCTCATCTGGTGAGATCCCCTTCCCATATATGATGCCTCAAACCGTTCGGCAAGCACCAATAAGCTTTTTTTACTGAGTAATTAATGTATTGAATGCAAGATTGCATTCTTGCACGGATAGAGAGTGGAACACCACCTTCAGTTTCTCATCTGATCCCACTTGTGGACTCCATGAATGAAGTAAGATAACAATCCATTGGTCAATTACATTGCCTCTTTAGATGGTTTTTAGTGGGCATCAGACTTGGTTTAGATGGCTTTTGTTGTGAAAGAAAACTTATCTTTCTAAAGACTGTACTCTGAATCTTACATCTCATACTTGATTATTTTTTTGCATAATTT